GCAATGTATCTGGAACATGAAAAATGGCATGGCATGAGGTAACCCTTTCACTATGCCAGCGGGTAGATGCATGCTGCGGAAATAAATACTTAGAGAGATGCCTGAAAGTCACTAAAATACAAAGGGTAGAGAATCAAACAAAGATGTAGACATGATAGAGCACATGCATGTTTTGAGGGCTGCTTTGGCCAACGAGTGCTGCAATGTATCTGGAACATGAAAAATGGCATGGCATGAGGTAACCCTTTCACTATGCCAGCTCTCAGGGCTAGAGATGCTGCCAAAACCCATATGGAGAAAAATGCCTGAGCTGAGTCAGAAACTTGCCTGAATCCTCTGACGTTAGAGCAGTCTGCTGAGGGCTTGAGGCAGCCAGCTCAGGAATGGCCAGGCAACTGTGCTGTTGCTGGAAAAGTATGCAGGGTGAATTAAAAAACAATCTCTTCAATGACAGCTCCCAGTGTCTCAGCCATGTGCACCCAGGGTTCCTAGCTGAAGGGGTGCTTGACAGTCACACATGGTGTTACTCTCTGAGTCTCTATAGCTTGCTATACAGAGACTAGGAGATGTTCATGTAAAGCAGTGCATGTCTTTTAGAAGCCAAGGTATTGAGGAGATTTGGTGCTGACAGTCTACAACAAGCAGGAGGCCAGGTTCTGTTTGATCACATTATTTGGGCATGCAGGTAGCTGAGTGCCCACTTAAACAGAAAAGATTACACTGTTCTCTCCTGTCTTGACTTATGAGGCTTTACTGCAAACACACCAAGAGACACATGTTGCCATCCTTTGTGCTCCTACTGCATCAGAGACTCAGGTCCTTCTGGGCCCCAGAACTTGGCCCATCCCTGTTTTCTGCAGAGCAAGGCATCTGGCATTGCACAGGTGTATGCTCCTGGCACTCTAACTACAGTACTGAGTATACAGCCCTGTCTATTCCCTCTTGTACGTGTCATCCCCACTGCCCCCCTCCCCCAGCACTGCTCAGGCAAAGTGGACTGGAGCAGGATGATCTGCTCTGCAGCATCTGGGGGCAAACCAAATCTGAGAGCTGCAGCTGTGGTATGGCCTGGGGGGAAATGGCTTGGGCAGTTGTGTGCATGGCTCTGAGCCTCAGCACAGGGGGCAGTTACTTGTGGTCAGGATGTCCCAATCCAGAGAAGGTTTAGTCTTTCATTCCTGCCCTGTCTGACCTGCCAGGGAGCCTACAAAGTATTTGCTGTTAGGTTAAAGTGCATTCCAAGCAACTTTGATCAGGCAGGATACTGATGGCAACTTCTCTCATTCCCACTTCAATACCACTAAAAATGTGCAGCCTTTAAAAAAATTTTAATTCTATTATACTTAATAGAATAATCTATCTTTATATTTTCTCTCTTTTCCCTCTGGAAGTCTATACTAAATAACTGCAATATTAGTTGCAAGTTATAGTATGCTGCGGGGAAAATGCATTTATTTTGTTTTACTCATTTTCATATATATGTAAAGTACTTTCTTACAGCAACTATACTGTCTCATGATGTGACACTTAAACTTCATTATAGTTGTTTAAACATGGGCTGAACAGGAGCATAAATTCCCCCTCTGAGGAAAAAACCCGAACAGCTCAAACGAAAAAAACCACAGAAATGTTTAACGGGAGAAAATTTGTTTTAATATTATCCTTTATTGCTGCTCTGGGAGCCAAAGTTTAACTTCTATATAGCCCTAGGTCATCCTTGCAGGCCAACAGTGTTGAAGAACAAACCTCTCCC